CTGTCCTGCCTGGGCTGGCTTTGAACCGCGATCCTCAGATCTCAGCCTCCTGAGTAGCTAGGATTACAGGCGTGAGCCACCAGCGCCCGGCTCTATGCAATATTTTTTTGGGGGGTCCGGTCGTGGGGCCTGAACTCAGGGCCTGAGCACTGTCCCTCAGCTCTTCAGCTCAAGGCTAGCGCTCTACTTGAGCCACAGTGCCACTTCCGACTTTTTTCTTTCTTTGCTTATATGGTGCTGAGGAATCAAACCCAGGGCCTCATGCATGCAAGGCAAGCACTTTACCACTGAGCCACCTTCCCAGCCCTTGCTATGCAATGTTAGCTCTTTAGTCAGACTTTTCTTCTGTCTTGGTGAGTTAGTGGGTCTTGTGTCTGTGAAAGCTGAATAGTTCCTGTTGTGGATGGCTATATTTGTAAAAATTTAACTACCAGGAATTACCCTGCACAGATAAAAGAGAAGGTACAGATATGTTTGGCTATCTTAAAGGAAACAGTTGCTTGCTACTGTAACTAGAGGAAAACAATCTGAAAGCATGTTATAAACAATACTATGTGTAAGCAGCCTTGTATACTAATGTTTATGATACACGGTCTTCCTCTCAAGAAACCTTACTCTTAATTTTATATACATGTGGTAGTATCAGGGCTTGAATTTAGGGCCTCATATTCTCAGCTTTTTCACTGATGGCTGATGTTCTACTACTTGAGCTATGCCTCCAGTTCTGACTTTTTGATGATTAATTGGAAATAAGAATCTCACAGAGGGCTGAGAATGTGGCTTAGTGGTAGAGTGCTTGCCTTGCATGCATGAAGCCCTGGGTTCCACCTAAACAGAAACAGCCAGAAGTGGCCCTGTGGCTCAAGTGGTAGAGTGCTAGCTTTGAGCAAAAGATCAGGGACAGTGCTCAGGCCCTGAGTTCAAGCCCCAGGACTGGCAAAAGAAAAAAGAATCTCATGGATTTGTCTACTCAGGTTAGATTCAAACCAAGATCCTTATAGTTAGAAGTGGTGATTTATGTTGGTATGACCTGTCTTATTACTTTTCCTCTAATTACAATGGCAAACCAATGTTTCCTGTAGGATACAGGTTTTACAGTAACTCCTATTGATAAGGACTGTAATCTATACACTGGCAGGGGTGGAGGAACATTTTTCCGTCTATGGTCATTTGACCTCTGTTGTTAGCAAATATTGATAATATTACTATGAAAAAAGTTCCTAGCCTATAATCCTAGGTATTCAGGGGGCTATAATATGAGAATCCCCATTTGAAACCAGCATGGGTAGAAAATCCATGAGACTCTTATCTCCAATTAACCATCCTCCACCCCCAAAAAAGCAGGAAATGGAGCTATGACTTAAATGATAAGAAATCTAGCCTTCAACACAAAAGCTTGTGGATGGTGCCTAAGCCCCAAATTCAAGCCCCAGTACTGACAATGATTTATTGACTTTCCAGTGTCACCAGCCATTGAATTGTCAGGGTTAGACTATATAATTTTGTGGGCCTTATAAGTCCATAGGCCTGACATCACCCCACTCTTCATCTACAGAAAAGACACTAGTGTATGGCCAGTAACTATGAATTATTAGTTAGGGTTTCACATTTGTTAGACAGATCATCTACTGCTTGAGCCACATCTCTGTCCCTTTTTGCTCTTTTTTTCACTTTTTTTTCCCCATGAGCTGGCTGTACCAAGATCCTCCTATTTTACATGCTTCTCATTATAACTAAGATGGCAGACATGTGCCACTATGACATACTTTTTTTTGTTGAGATGGATTCTTGTGAACTTTTGTCCCCATGCAGGCCTGGAACCATGATTATCCTGATTGAAGCTTCCCATGTAGCTGAGATGGAGAAATGTGTCACCACTGGTTGAAATAGGATTTTGTAAACTTTTTTTCTCAGGCTGGTCTTGCATCTTAATCTAACTAATCTCCATGCCCATGAGTAGCTAGAATTAAAGATGTGAGTCACTGGGACATGGCCATGAAATATTAGATATTTTAAATGTTGATAGATATTGTATACTGGCTTCAGAGCAACAGTCATGTGCCATGTATTTTATACACATTTATCCTTTTCTTGGACGTGGCAGTTCTCACAGCTTTAGGGTGCTGCTTCTACCCTCATCAGATATTCATACTTGTATCCCTCACTTCCTATTAGCACTTCATCTCCAACTTTATAGAGAAAATAGATGCCATAACATAGAAATTAAGTCAGATACCCACCAACAAAACGAAGGCGACCTTATCTGTATAAAATAGAAGATATAGATAAAGCAATCTCTGACCTAGAGATGAACCTATTCTGCCTGTGTTCTTTCCACTTAACCTCCTATTATCCTGAAGGGAGGTATCTTCCTTCCTGTCCTAGGCCAATCTCACCTTCTGTCTGCTCAAGGTCTTCCTTCTTAGGTTAGTACCTCTCTTTTCAGTAGCTTCAACTCCATCCACCTCTTCTCCTCCTCCTCCTCCTCTTCTTCTTTTTTTTTTTTTTCTGTTGATTGGTGTGGATGCTGTCCCTCAGCTCTTCAGCTCAAGGCTAGAGCTTTACCACTTGAGCTGCAGCACCACTTCTGGTTTTCTGGTGGTTTATTAGAGATAAGAGTCTCACAGACTTTTCTGCCCTGGCTGGCTGGCTTTGAACCATGATCCTCAGATCTCAGCTTCCTGAGTAGCTAGGATTACAGGTGTGAGCCACCAGTGCCTGGCTCAACTCTTCTTTAATAGCTTCTTTTCATAAGTATTAATACACAGGGCTTTTCAAAAAATAAAGTATTCCCTGCTGGGCCTGGTTGCTCGTGCTTGTAATCTCAGCTATTTGGGAGCCTGATGAGATCAGGAAGATCTAACTTGAGACCAGCTCAGGCAAAAGCTTAGGGAGACCCCGTCGGGACATTGTGGCATGTATCTGTTATCTCAGTTATGTGGGAAGCATAAATAGAAAGATCTCATTGAGACTCTTTTCAAAAAATAAAGCACAAAGGGCTGGGGGGGCAGTGGTTCTGGTGGTACTATGCTGGCTTAGAAGTACAAGGTCATATGTTTAAACTCGAGTGCTGAAAAAAAAAGAAAAGAAGTCCCTCCATTATCTGGGTATGGTGGGTCATATCTGTAATCCTATTACCTTGGAGTATGAGGCAGGATTGTGAGTTGGAAGCCAGCCAGCCTGGACTGCAGAGCAAGACCTTGTCTCAAACAAACAAAAACTATTTCCTAGATCTTGGCTCCCACCTACCTTTCCAGCTACCCTGTCTCCTGTTAACAGTTCTTGAAACAGTGTCTAAACAGTCTATCTTTAGAACATTGTCTCTTACTCTCTCCCCAATCTAGTAGGATCTGAGTTCTGTTCTTCCCATTCTCTAACTCTTCCTTAGGTCACAAGTCAGTGAGGTCACTCAGTGTTTGGGGTCCTTTGGGCCCATTGCTAATCGTTCCTGAGCCTATTTCCTTGGCTTCATTGATGTTATTCTCTGGGTTTTCTTCTATATATCACTGCTTTTTCAATGATCTTCCTTTAGCAGCTGCATCTCTGTCTTGTTCCCTCCTAGTTCATTCCCATAGCTGTAGTTATTATCTATACTAACAATCCCAGAACTGTATTCTGAATCTGGGACCCCGCCTCTCCTCTGAGCCTACACATATATTAGATCTCTCAGATATCTAATGTCTAATACAGAACTCATAGTCATAATCTCATTCTCCTTCCAACATTCCCTTTCCACTCAGTGCTATTACAGTCAAGTTATTCATACAAATCAGAAACCTAGGAACCATTCCTGACACTTCCATTTTTTTTACTCTTTATATTAAAAACTCAATCATTAGCCAAGTATCTGTGGCCTGTAATCCTAGCAACCCAAGAGCTGATATCTGAGGATCATGGTTTAAAGCCAGCCCGAGCAGAAAAGTCTCTGTGAGACTCAAAAACAGAAAGTGGCACTGTGGCTCAAGTAGTAGAGTTCTAGCCTTGAGCACAAAGATACTTAAGGACAGTGCCCAGGCCCTGGGTTCAAGCCCCACAACCAACCCCCCAAAAAACCAGAAAACCTCAGTCATTAAGACATTTTTTTTATTGGGCACCAGTGGCTCATGCCTATAATCCCAGCTAATCATATGGCTGAGATCTGAAAATCATACCTGAAAGTCAACCTGGGAAGGAAAATCTGTGAGATTCTTTTTTTTTTTTTTTGGTTGGTTGTGAAGCCTGAACTCTGGGCCTGGGTTTTATCCCTCAGCTCCAGCTCAAGGCTAGTGCTCTACCACTTGAGCCACAGCACCACTTCCGGCCTTTTCTGCTTATGTAGTGCTGAGGAATCGAACGTAGGGCCTCATGCATGCAAGGCAAGCACTCTACTACTGAGCCACCTTCCCAGCCTGTGAGCTTCTTGTATTTAGTTAACCAACAAAAAGCTGGAAATTGCCAGGTGTTAATGGCTCATGCTGTAACTCTTACTACTCAGGAAGCTAAGATCTGAGGACCTCACAGTTGAAAGCCAGCCTAAGCAAGAACATCCTTGAGACTCTTATCTCTAATTAACTACCAGAAAACCAGAGGTGAAGTTGTATTCAAAGTGGTAGAGCACTTGCCTTGAGTAAAAGAGCTCAGACCCTGAGTTCAAGTCCCACACCCAACAACAACAAAAAAGCTGAAAATGAAGCTGTGGTTCAAGTTACAGAGCATCAGCCTTTGGTAAAAAATCTAAGGGACAGTTCCCACGCCCTGAGTTTAAGCCTTAAGAACCCCCCCCCTCTTATTTCAATCTCCAAATTATGTGTTCCTTATTCCTATTCTCTTCATTTCTGTTGTCACTGCTTTCATATAAGCCACTAGTAACTCAACCTGAACCATTGCTACAATTTCCTCATCTCACATGACCTCTTCCATCGCATCCCATACTTCCCAAACGATTTTGAATGACTCATATATGCAAGGCACTGCTCTGTATGATAGAACGAAGCAGAGGCCTTACTGTACTGAAGTTTCACTAGTCACTCAACGAATAAGTGGTAGCAGTGAGGAATGCTGCGAAGACAAAGTGATGGTAAGTGCATGAGGGGGAAGCAGCTTAACAGTTTTCAGAGGAAGCTACTCTAAAGAAATGACCTTGAGCAGCTTTGCTTGAAATCATGGGAAGGATTCAGTCTTGTGACTTTGGGATGAGCATCCCAGCAAGCCAGTACGGAGTCCCCATGGGAAACCCTGACCTGGAGCTGCAAAAGGTCACAGAGTAAGTTGTGGGGAAGTAAAAAGATAATGGAGACTGAGCAAGGGGATTATAGACCATGGCAAAACATGGGAATGCAGAGTGGAAGGTGGGTTCAGATCAGGGTGAAGAGAGTAGGGTGAGGCTAATTTACATTTCTTAAATATTTATTTGGTACTCTTAATTTTTTTTCCCACACCGATCTTTTTTTTTCCTTTTTCCATTACGCGCGCACGTGTGTGTGTGTGTGTGTGTGTGTGTGTGTATGTGTGTCAGTGTCAGTACTCAAACTTGTACTCAGGGCCTCATACTCTCAGCTTTCTTGTTCATGGCTGGGGCTCTACCACTTGAGCCATGCCTCTAGTCTGGCATTTTGCTAAAGATGAAGTCTCTTAAACTTCTGCCAAAACTGGCTTGCTTTAAACAGCCTCCTGAGTAGCTAGGATAATAGGTGTGAATTACCGGCACCTGGCTTTTGTGCAATTTTCAATGTTGACATCAGTGAAAATTAGCTTTTATTATCCCTTGCTAGCTTTGTGGTCCTCCCAGGTCAAAGTGGAAAAACATACTTGCATACTTCAGAAGACCCTGAAGCCTTCCTAATAGCCAAAGTTTGAGTGTTCTTAGTAAAGTTTAAAGATTATGGAAAGGGAATGAGCTAACTTCAGGTTAAAACCCCATCCCTATCTCCTCATCTACTCTCTGGGTTTAGTACCAAGTTTTGTTTTTTTTAACACACTTGTATGTCTGAAAGAGAATAGGAAGGTCATGTAAAAGGTAGAAAATCTCTTTCTTATCCAGAGCGGTCATCCAAACGGGAAAGTCACTCATCAAATCGAAAAGAAAAACCCCTATAAGGCTAAGTGTAATGGTTCATGCCTGTAATCCCAGGATTTGGGAGTCTAAGGTAGAATAATAGTGAGTTTAAGACAGCCTGGGCTACTTTATGGAGACAGTCTCAAAACACATGGAATGACTAGAACCAATTGCTGATAGGATTATGAGAAGGACATGTGCTATATCATATCCATGTACTAGGCACTGGTTTCTAGATTAAAATGAAGACACAAGTCAACTTGTCAAAGAAGAACAGCTAGTCATTTATGATCAAAACCAATACAACAAATCCCTTTTATGATATACCATGCTCCTAGACCAAGAATATGAGAGTATTATTTGAGTTAGCTAGAGTTTACATTAAAACCAATGAAATAACTGGGAGCTGGTAACTCATGCCTGTAATCCTAGCTACTCAAGAGGCTGAGATTTGAGGATCACGATTCAAAGCCAGCCGGGGCAGGAAAGTCTGTGAGACTCTTATCTCTAATAAACTACTAGAAAGCCAGAAGTGGTGCTGTGACTCAAGCAGTAGAGTGCTCATCTCAAGCTGAAGAACGCGACAGCGTCCAAGCCCAGAGTTCAAGCCCCATGACTGACAAAAAACAAACAAAAAAACCTAAATTTCTCAGGCTTCCTGTAAAAGGTTATAGCTGTCTCTTGTTCACAGCAAAGTTTCAAACAAGATTGGGGCAACTTTGTACAATACAGGTACCTTATTAAATCTGAGGCTACCACTGTGATTGGCTTGAGCAACTTTGCCTTCATAGGTTCTTCTGGATGAGTTCATGAAAATTTCTAGGTCTTAGGAAGAGTAAGGAAGACTCTGTAAACGGGTTGTATACAAGGAAATCCCAAATTTTTCCTTAAGAATTTGGCCAAAGGCTTGTGTCGAGTCCAGATAGTCCAGTTTCCTTTGGTGCACTGCTTGAATTTCTTTTAAGAACTGAGGCTGTACAACAGGATGTTTAATAGAAAGCTCTTTCCTTTATGACATCATCAGACAGAGGTAGCTCAATGAACTGTTTGAGACAGAATAACAGCCACTTTTGTGGGAGCCCAAGAACAGCAGCTTTAAAAGAAAATGAGGATAAATAGTCTGGTTTTATTAGGATCCTGAAGACAATTCAGTCAACAAAATATGGCATCTACCCAGAAGGGTTCAGTCTATCAGGTAGCCAAGTCAAGTAGAACTGGGTCCAAGATAGCAGTTCCAGCACATAGAGGGACTGAGACTATTAGCGCCACTCAACGGGGACATGGGTACATTAATTCCTCAAGCCAGCAAAATGCTGCTGTCTCTCTGAGCCCCAATCCCCAACGAAGATCAGAAGCTATGTATAACACCACTGCCCACTCAGCATCTGACTATCTTCGATCTCTGTCAATGCAGTCAGGGCCTCCCTTATATACAGCATACCAGAGGGGGATGGAGACCCGACAAAGAACAGATGCACCCCGCCATTCCTCTCCTCATCGAAAGATGTCAGCTTTCCCAACCATGAATGCACAACGGAATGTTAGTCCAATCAGAGAGGAAGCAATGCGAAGTGTCGACAGCAAGCCAGGTCGTGATATTGGCCACCGTATCTCATCTCCTGATGCCAAATCCCCCCGTCGCTTGAGTTTTATAGATGAAAAGGAAAGCTTACAATTACAAAACTTAGAAGAAGAGGACCCACCCTCCAAGGTCCAGAACCCCCAAGGGGTCAGAGTTCCTCGTAGGATTTCATCTCATCCAAAGGATGAAGCAGTACAAACAGATCCCATCCGAAAGATTTCCAATATCAATGAGGTCAAATCTCCAAGGAGTGTCTATACTGGCGGCAGCAGGGCTCCTGCAGACCACCGGGCAGTCCTTAGGCGGACCACTGCCCTAGAGCCAGAAATGGGTCCTACCAACCCAGTTCTTCCTGAACCAAAAGCCTCCATCAAAAATACAAAATTGGCACCAACCCTCAAACTCTCCGTTCTTAGAGACTTACCTAGTGGATATCGAGTTCCTGTACGTTCAGAGGGGGAGCCTCTCCAAAAGCATTATGTATGCACTGAGGCTAAGCCCCCCACAAAGGTTATAATACCATCGGAGGTGGAGGCCAATGAGAAGTCCCTGAAACGAGACAGTGAGATTGGCCGCAGGGTCACCATCTCCCCAATGGAATACTCAGTGCAGGCGGCTCACCGTTTGTCAACTCGAGGAGGAGTGTCTGAAGCTCCTCACAAATCTCCTATATACCCAGAACCCTGCTCGAAGCCTTCCATCCAGGCAGAACTGGAACTGACCCCTCGGCCCTTACCCCCTCGGTCCTTACCTAGGTATGGGCCTGACTGCTCATGGTGGGCCTTACTGAATCGTGAAACTGAAATGCCCCAAAGCCGGCCATGCACACCTGATTTTGAGCATAAGTCCCCTCCTCCCCTAGACCCCATAATGTCCTTTTATGAAATGGACTCAAACCTTTTCTGTGAAGACTTAATGTTCCAGAGAGAAAAACCATGCACACCACCACCACTACCACTGCCTCCACCACCACCACCACCACCACCACCACCACCACCATCGAAGCAGTGTCCAAGCCGGCTATCATGGAAGGAAGTCCCTCATGTCCTCAAGCATGCCAGCAAACAACTCATTCAAGGGTTTAATGCTTTCTTCCTGGGTATGTGTAGAAGCAGCCTGTTTAGGTATAGCCCCAAACTAGTGAGGTAGCATGTTGGGGTAGCAAAAAAGACCCTTCTTTATTCTGGGACTCGGGTATTCTGTTTCCAGTGTCAAGCTAATGATATCAACGACAGTGCTTATACCAGCAGCAGGCACTGAGTCTTCCAAGAGATGCTGCTACATGTTACTTCAGTGTGAGGTAGTAGAGTGGTTTGCTGGGTTAGAACTTGCTTTCTGAGAGTGGAGATGAAGAATTGGGCCAGGTTGAAAGGTAATCAGGGCTGTTGAAAAGAATAAGGGCCTCACGCACATATTCTAGCATCAAAGCAGAATAGATGGTACACCAATGATCTGGGGCCTCGGCTTCCAGGAGGGAGATGGCCTTAACAGTGGTACAGAGAGGGAGTTGGGAATAAAAGCATGTGATTTGGGGTCCTACGTGGGAGAAGCTTCTGGGATCAAGAATGGAGGGCACCTCTCAGAGGAGACATTATAGAGCTAGAAAGCAAGATATAAGTAGTATGGGGGGGGTGATAGACAAGAAAAAATCAATCTTGCTGTTACTTTCAGATGTCTCTGAGGAAATGCAAAATCGAATTCTCTGGTGGCTAAAAGGTTTGTGCCTTTCCTTCTTGTGGGTCCATTGTGGAGGGAGGGTTAAAAGATAGGAGGCCAAGTAAGGGGGTGGTCTTTTTGGAGAATACAAGCAGAGTTTTGAAACTGAAAGAGCAGAGGTACTTCTCTTGCCTAAAATGTCACCATTAAAGTCATCCCTCTGAGAACTGGAACCTTTAAATTCAAGAAATGAAATCCTGAGGTTGAAACACTCCAAAGCCATTTGACAACACTTGATGGTGAGCCTAAGTCCTGTCCTAGACCCTTTTATGAATTGCACTTAAGCCCTTTGTAAGGACCTGAAGTTCCAGGGAGAGAAGGCAAGTACACCATCATCTCAAAAGAGTCACCAAGCTGAGAGCCACCGAAGGAAGTGTCTCAGGCATTTTCACTTTGGTGAGTGTGTGTGTATGTGTGTGTGTGAAACAGGCTACCTGCTTCACAGATTGGCCCAAGTTTAACTCCACATTAATTCAGGTTGGAGAATCTTCCCAGGTGTCTCTCTGGCTTCTCAGAACCCTTTGACCTTGGGACACATCTTTTTTTTTTTTTTGGTCGGTCATGGGCCTTGAACTCTGGGCCTGAGTGCTGCCCCTCAGCTCTTCAGCCCAAGGCTAGTGCTCTACCACTTGAGCTACAGCGCCACTTCCGGTTTTCTGGTGGATTATTGGAGATAAGAGTTTCATGGAGCCGGGTGCTGGTGGCTCACGCCTGTAATCCTAACTACTCAGGAGGCTGAGATCTGAGGATCGCGGTTCAAAGCCAGCCCGGGCAGGAAAGACTGTGAGACTGCTATCTCCAATAAACCACCAGAAAACCGGAAGTGGCGCTGTAGCTCAAGTGGTAGAGCACTCGCCTTGAGCTGAAGAGCTGAAGGACAGCTCCCAGGCCTAGAGTTCAAGCCCCATGGCCGACAAAAAAAAAAAAAAAAAAAAAGAGTTTCATGGACTTTCCTGCCCAGGCTGGCTTTCAACCGTGATCCTCAGATCTCAGCCTCCTGAGTAGCTAGGATTACAGGCATGAGCCACCGGCGCCCGGCTTTGGGACACTTTTAAGAGCTGCTGCTCAGGTAAGATCTCCAGGGATGTCTAGTCTTCCTCCTTGAGGCCACCAGTGTGTCTTAATGTCAACTCCTGAATATTTAAAAATGTTTCCTTAGGACCTTATCCTCTGCTTCATTTGTACTCTTGGCAGTGGAAGGGAGGGGATTATACCTCACAGAGTGAATCTTGATAGCAGGGAGTTCTTGCTGTTAGTAATGAAGCTCCGGATAAGCTCCAGTCCAATGAATATGGCAAAGGCCAAGGCTTTGGCTGAAGTTCCTAGGGAGGAGAGAGCCCTGAGAACACAGTCCAGTCCCCAATCTTCCCATTTGAAGGGGCCAACCAGCACAAGCCCTCCAAATGATGGACAGCAAAGACAGGGAAGGTTGCCCCTCCCCTCCAAGAAAACAAAGTTCTATAAAGTAGGAGTATAATAAAATATGGATTCTGGAATTGTCTTATAGCTGGTCCACTATTTGCCAACTATGGCCTTAGGTAGATTACCTCTCCAAGTCTCAGTTTTCTTTTCTATTATGTGGGAATAATGACTTCCTCTTTATAGATTATTGTGAGGGGGGGCTGGGAAGGTGGTAGAGCGCTTACCTTGCATGCATGAGGCCCTGGGTTCGATTCCTCAGCACCACATAAGCAGGAAAAAAAAGCCGGAAATGGTGCTATGGCTCAAGTGGTAGTGTGCTAGCCTTGAGCTGAAGAGCTGAGGGACAGCGCCCAGGCCCAAAGTTCAGGCCCCACAACCGGACCCCCCCAAAAAAAACTATTGTGAGGTTTATCCAAACTATTGCTTGTAGCATAGTGAGCATGCAGTAATTGCTGTTGTTATTTAGGCTACTTGTACAAGGAAGGGATTTGGGCTAGTTTATGCCCATATCTGCTGGGCATCTTTAAGTAACATTTTATTTTTTCCCTCCTTTTGGCACTCACTGAATTCCATCTGCTGCTCCCTGGGAATGCCTGGCTTCCACTTTTCTGCTATGACAGATGAGGAGGTAAGAATGCCCCTGAGAAATTACTTTCAGCCTTCTTGTGCTCCACTCCCTAATCTGAGTCTCACCCCTAACCTCTGGTGGAAGAGGGTATGGAGGGAAATAGATCTGGCACCCTGTGGGTGGACAGGTTGTTCATTGAACCAGGATGCCTGTGTTCCATTTGCCAAGCTGGGTGCCTGTGGCAGTGCATCTCCTCAAAAGGAGATTTGCACAAAAGTGCTATAAGAGCTAGTTGCAACCCTGGAGAAAAAGAATAGGGACTTTGGGAGGTGATGGACAGAACAGCCATTTTGGATCGGGCCCTCACTCTCCTCCTCCCTGGGGCACTCTAGAAAGGGGTTGCATTTCTGGGTTACACACTATTTGGATCCTCAACTTGAAAAAGCATAAGGTGGCCTCTGCTCTTGGCAGCTCTGTGTCCTAAATTTGGCAGTGTCCTGATTTCACAGTGCATTTATTGTTCCCATAAGTATTTTGGCTCTTCTTGGCCCATGTTTGATAAAATGAAAGTTCTTACTACTTCCATTCTTTCTCTTAACATCTTCTCTTACTCAAGGCCTGACAATAGTCTTTAATGGATTCCCTCCATGGCTAACCAGCCCATGATGAATAGTTGACTACAGATGGAAAACAAATAAGTGTGTGTGGGGGGGAAACAGCCTGAGCTCAGATAACAGAACAGCTGAAGGGGAGGTGTCCACCCCCTCTGCCCTGAGTTCTTACCCAGCTCCAGGCTCTGAGCTTGGCTGTAGGAGGGAGTAGCCACTTTTAGAGATTATCTCCATGCAAAACAGTAAGTCCCTCCTTCCTTCCTTCCTTTCTTCCTTCCTTCCTCCCTCCCTCCCTCCCTCCCTTCCCTTCCCTTTCTCCCCTCCTTCCCTCCCCCTTCCCTCCCTCCCTCTGTTCTCCCCTTCCCTTCTTCCTTCCTTCCTTCCTTCCTTCCTTCCTTCCTTCGTTCCTTCCCTGGCTTTCCATTGATAATTTTTGTTCAAATGTCTAGTACTCTGCTAGGCACTATTGGAGGAAGCTTCACCTCTCTCTCTCTCTCTCTCTCTCTCTCTCTCTCTCTCTTTGACCTTGCAAAACTGGCCATCTAGATGGGGAGATAAGACAAGGGCAGGAAACTTTTAAACAATATGCAATAGTCTGTGGTCAAATGTCAAAATAATAGAGATTGAATGAATGTTCTTGGAGGGTCTTAGTGTCAGCAGGAGGTAAATAGGGGTTGTGGGTTATACCTTCTTTCCCAAAGCTATGGGGAGAAGGCTTAACAGCTGACCTCTTGCTCACCCCTTAATACAAACCTATACCTTTGGGAAGGAGTGTTATAACCCTTTGTGCAAGATTTGATGTGTGCAACTGAGTAGGCTCCTCCCTGTCCTCCCCCATCACCCCCTTTTTCTGTGCATCTTGTTTTAGTTTAGGAAGTCAAAAGCCTTGGCAGCAGAATGACTTCTTCCCAAAATAGCTCTTATCCTGTCTGGATAATTACAGCTCCCAGCCCTGTTCAGCAGCAGAGCTGCTCCCCAGAAGCTGGAAGACAAGGCAGCTGGGCTTCTGGGCTTTTCCGGATCTCTGGAGCCAGGGTGACATGGAGATGGTTCAGGTAGTCTCCCTGAAAAGCATGACTGAGATAAACTTTCCTGCCTGTCCTCCAGGCTGCACCACCTGCAGGCAGTTCCAAGGCAGAGACAGTGATATTGGACTCCAGGGCCTCTGGTTCCTCTGTGCTGGGCATGGGTTGACCATAGCATCCTGTCCCTGATTTCATTGCTGGCAGGAATTCTCTGGTGGCCCAGACCCAGTGCCTGGCTTCTGGAAAGCAGCATATCTGTTGTTGAGCTTCACAAAGCTCCTCTGGATCCATTGCTGAGAATGGTGCCTGACTTAATCCAGGTCTTTCTCAGTCTTCTCCCAAATAGCTGCTTGAGGTCCTTTTGTCCTAAGGAGGAGTGGGGGCAGACAGATGCTTCTCAATCTTGGATTGGGTAATTAGGAAGTAGAATCTCCCCAGAAGAAGGAACCATTTCTGAAGGGTGTGTGTGTGTGTGTGTGTGTGTGTGTGTGTGTGTGTGAATCTCCCCAGAAGAAGGAACCATTTCTGAAGGGTGTGTGTGTGTGTGTGTGTGTTTGTGTGTGTGTGTGTGTGCAGAAACTCAATAGGAAGAGCTTTAAACTGGTAGGGAAAGACCTACCTTTTCAATCAGCCCTGGGCAGTTTTTGAAACGAAGTGGGTGGGACCACAACTTGTCTGATAGACAGAACTGCCCACGGCCCAAGATCCTGTGTTGTGTTTTCAAGGCATCTGACCTACTCACCCTTGCATGTGACTTAGACTGTCAGGAGATGAAGTGGTTTCTTCCTTGCTTGCATCCATCAATTATGTAAAAAAACAACTGGAAAATAGGTCAGGAACCAGAGGAGGCCATTTCAATGGTACCTGAAGCAGACTTCAATGCCCTTAAAGAGAACTTTGTCATTTGACCCACAAGGGACAAGTACAGTCTGCCTCCAGTTGGCTCCTGAACCCTAGGGAAATTTTTTTCTCAGGAGCACCTTGATTACAAAGAAAAACCTGGAGTGTCTAAGGAAACTGGGGAGTCTGTGCATTCATGGGGATGGTAACAGAATCCTAGGAAGGATGTGGGCTATCTGAAAGGAACCCTAGAAACTGTCTTTGCCTCTTTTCCCATGGAGAACTTTTGGAAGAATAGAGCAAAGTGACTGAAATAGGGTGGAGGGCAACTCAGGAGGTTTAATAGCAGCTTGGACCCCCCCCCGCCCCGCCCCTTTCCTGGTCAGATGGCACTTGTTTATCTCAAGCCACCATGTGCAGTCAATTCCAGTGCAGGATGGAAGGCTGGTGACCTGAGGCCACGTCTTGCTAATTTGGACACAGGCTAGCTTGACCAACTCATCCCTGAAAGTCCTGCTTTTCAAGAACTCTTTAGTCTTGGATAAACAAGGACAATTAGTCACCTAGGACAAGTTGTGGTGTGGTGC